CGTACTTTGTGCCAGTTAGTTTCCCATCAAGAAAAAAAGGTCCAATTGAAAATTTATCAATTATTCCTGCCCATACGTTTAAACTAAACTGGTGTTGATGTCTTGAATGCACAATAACATGTGGGTTTCCTTCATCCCAATTGTGATTATTATGAAAATTGAATGTACCATTCCTGGTAAAACTAGCTTACTGGAGTTTGCTCTGTTTATAAAATTCATTATATGTTGTAAACAAAGACAGGTAGGACATATATTTATATGACTTTTTTCCATTATTTTCATGTTATATATTAACATATTATAACATGAATATTAACATAATAATATATATTAACATATTGTAATATAAACATTAACATAATAATATATATTAATAATTAAACATATATATTATATATATTAATATATATTAATAATGTAATATATTATTATAATATAATTATATGTTTTAATTCGAATTCTTATTTATCATGCTGAGTGCCGTGTCGGCGAAACAAATTTACTTACGTATATTAAAAATCGAGAAACTTACAAATCCGTATATCATAATAAACACGTATATCATTATATCATAAATGCGTGTATTAAAATATTGAAAATTCTTTAAGATTACAAGAAGGAATAGCAGCTGAATATTGCTTTCATACAATACACAGTACAAGCAACAACAGTACACAGTACACAATACACAGTACAGTAATGCAATCATAATTTTATTAAAACAGTTTAGGCAAAGATGTGGCATTTCCTTTGCATCCGTCACGTGTACGAATTGTTGTAATTTTCTTCAGTCACGTTTCTACTGATATTTCTCTCCATCAGAACTCTTGCATTTTCTTCGTAACAATTTTGTACAAAATTTTCCGACTTGCTGGATATAAACTGCGATCTTGCCGCGGGATTTACCGAACGGCGGTAAACGGAAACAAAGGTAAACAAAGTACGCGTCAAGAACGGTTGCCGAACGAGACGTGATTGAAATACCATGTTATCGCGAGCAATGGAGCGTGACACGACTGACCCGGCGATAACGTGATACATATTATATTATTCAGAAAAATAATTTCCTTCTTTTGCTGTTCGTTACGATCGTCCTTAGCTGAAGCTTAGTCCTTTGACGCTTCTAGCCGTGGTTAGGTCAATTTTCATTCGGTACCACGATCCATGAGAAACTGAATTACTGTGTAAACTTTGTACTCTGCACCTTTTCTTCGACTCTCAATGTCGATTTCTCGCGACGCACAGAAATAGAGGCACACACACACACACACACACGCGCGAACAACTCTTTATTTCGCTGCGAAATAATAAAAGATCTCGCAACACTAAGCCGAATGAGCCTTCACCGGACGATGATGATGATTAACGGAATCGATCTCGTCCGAACGAATAGGATACAAGAAGCTACTAGTGGCTCTGACTCGACCTGAAAACGTCGCGGTGAGACGAAACGTTGCTAGAAAGAATAAGAATAAGAAGTGGAAAGCTTGAAACAGAGAGAGAAAGAGGAGAAAGGAAGAAGACAAACTGTCTTGCGTGCGTGTGTCATAGGCCGGGCGATCGATTCGGTTCGATCGTGTCGTCGCTGCCAGGCTTTTAAAATGGTACGTGCGCGATCTACATAAGAGAGGAGAGAGAGAGAGAGAGAGAGAGAGAGAGAGAGAGAGAGAGAGAGAGAGAGAGAGAGAGAGAGAGAAGAAGCGAACGGCCTGCAACCGAGAGAGGAGCTTGCCGTTCGTTAGCAAGCAGTCCGCTCGGCCGTATAATTTCTAGGCCGTACGTAGTAATTTAACGCACTCCCACTCTTAAGTCAAATCACGTGATAAGACCATTTCCGCGCGGTTGTTTACACGCGTTTACGCACATAGTAACTACGGGGGGGGGGGGGGGGGGGGGGGGGTTTTTTTTTTTAATCGCCAGTGTGTTGTCCCGGTGGCGGAAATTGGCCAGCACAATCGGCGATGCTTGTTTCCGATCGGTCGATCACGAGCAATCGTAATGATACGGTTTCGTTATTTTCGAGCGAAAAAAATCGAACCGGGGAAATTGGTCACTATGGATTTCGCAGCGAGGAAAGTAACGCGCTAAAAAAACAACGTTGTTATGCGACGATACCTGATTTCTCGTCTCGAACGAAAGCTTTTCTAGCTTCTTGAGCGAATGAGGACCGTTGTTGAATGCCACCGGCGACTCCGACGATTAGTAGAAGTCCATAATTCGAGCGTGTGTCGATACTTTTAAATGTTTCAGTTTATTATATTAGTTTCGTTGCTGTTATATAGTACGATTCACGGCGTGAAGAAATTAATGCAATGTAGAATACATAAAGGTATAGCACGATGTGTATGTAACGCGTAAATATTATTCGTGCATATGCGCATGTGTCGCAAACGAGAGAGGAGAGAATCAGTGCAGTCTTCACAATGACGATTTTTTTTTTTTTTTTTTTTTTGTTTTTTTTCGTTTTTTTTAATTTTTTTTTTATTTTTTTGGTATTTTTCGGTTTTTCTAATTATTCTTTTAATTATTTCGAATTCTTTTCGTTGCTATCATTTATATAAAAATAATATATATATATAAATAATATAATATAATATATATATATAAATAATATAATATAATTATATGTATAAATAATATAATAAAAGTATTTCTATACTCAGTTATTTGAATAACAGAAAAATATAATCCTAATGATAATTGTAAATAATAATATTTTTATTCTTTCTGATTTATTTTTTTAAAAAATATAAATGATTTAAAGTAATAAAAAATCCTGAAGTAATTAAAGTAAATGCATTTAATAAAGAAACTTCAGTATAATTAAATATTTGATGCTGGCTTTTCTTGCCATTTTTTTTGTTTCTTTTTTCATTTCATGATACAGTTTTCTCTCTTCGCATGTGAAGAAATGGCAATCCTCAATTTTTTCAAACTAATATTGTAAGAAATGAATGAAAATCGAAGAAACGCGTGTTTCACCGTCCAGTAAGACAAATCTATTAAACACGATCGTATACTTATCCGTTGTAGATAATTTAGTGGCCCAATTTTTTGCAATAAAAATACAAGAAGAATTTTACAACATTTTAAATTAAACTGAAGTTCGAACGTGAATTTCTTCATTACGTTTTCAAAAGTTGTTTCATTCAAATGTTAACCACTTCAGCGACAAATTTTTAATTTCAGTAACAACAGCGAAATGTAATCTAATTTCATTTTAACTTTTACTTGCGTTGTGACAATTAGGATTTACTTTCTCATTAGCAAATTTAACAAAGATTGCACATTTATTTTTCTAACGCTTTCGCGAACAGAAGTAACTTTTTTATAGGAATTTTTAGTAAATCAACTGTCCACATATACATAAAATAAATAACAATAAAAATAATATATAACGAAAAAATTGGGGACTTATTTTAGTAGAAAGTGATTTTTGGCCCACCCTATATCTCAACATAATATATAATACCTAATATAATAAGAGTAAGTGTAGTAATATAATAAGTAGTTTATAGTAATTAATATAACAAGTGTTAAGCGATTAAAATTGGATATAATTGGAACACTCTCCTCTTACCTCGCGAGGAAAGCGCGAAACGTCTTTGGGTCGGCTGAATGGGAACTAGTCTGTTGTTTTAAAAACAGCAAGTGGAGGGGAATTTCAAGAGGGATTATTTTGAGAGCGGTGAAACTGGATGAGCTGCGAGAGTGGACATTTTATTTGCTGAAAGTATATTTAGTCACTATTGTCATGGACGGTCTAATTGCGAGACCTTGGCACAACATCGAGCAGGGATCGAACGAGGATCTGCGAATCGAGAAGAAGA